AGATATTTTAAAGGATAATTAAATTTAACAGCATTGATTGAAAAAATAAAGCATCATTATATTTTGGAGAAGAAGATATCAATTAAAAATAAATGCTTTGATAAGTTTAACCAAGCTTGGCACATTTACCAGGAGGCTTTACAGGGTAATTTGATGGATTAGCAACTACAAAATTAACAGACATGAAACTAAATTTTTGTTGTTTTTTTTTTTTTGGTTTAAATTTACTATATTTGGTTTTTTTTGGTTTTTTTTTCTTAATCATCTTTTATTATTATTATCTTTTATTTTTTAATTTTTTTTATTATTTAATTCTCTATACTTTTTGTTGTCCTTTTTACATCGGGATGACCGTGAGGGCATTCTGATGTATTGCTATCGTCTAGATTTCCATTACGTAACTTTCGTTTTGGGTTTGTAACCGATCTATAAACATGATAAATACGCGGATATTAACGAGTGCAAACTAACTTTCCTTATTGTTTGTTATAAATACATCTCTTCAATGAATACTGATAAAAATATTTTTGTTTAGAACATAAATTAATAATATGAAAATGTTTTGTCGTTATATATAAGTAAAAAATCATTGATAATATCTATGCACACGTACCGAAAAATTGTGTAAAAGCATGCGGAAGAATATCTCAAGAATGTTTTGCAACAATCCCGGGAAAAGACCAGTAACTCTGTAATTGTTTAAGCGGGAAAATATGAATGACTACCCTCATCCAATCTTTTAGAAAAATCGAATTTCTACAGAAGAGTGTCCACCATGCACTTGCACTGCACTATTATTAGAATAGTATAATAGAATGATATACAAATGGATGAAAATTATATATATATGTAACTGTTATATTAATATAATATATAACAACAAACCATTGTATACTGATTTGTATCACTACAATATAATAGTTATTAGGGTGAGGTTGAATTTCCTGACTTCCTGTCATTTATTCATCATCCACCCACGAAGTTGTCTCAGAAAAAAATATATCTCTGTACATTAACCTCAGTTTCAGGTATACAGATGTGATTTTTTTTTCTGTGACAAGTGCTTTTGACCATCCACAAGAACTTGCGGTCATCCAATGTTCAGTACTTCAGTACTTTGATTCATAAGATACCTTTATAAAATCCCAACAAAGTGTTATTTTCAAGTTCAAATACTATACATTTTCTGATGAGTTGTATTATATTACATTTATATATATATGAACTTGCTATTTGATAACTGTACTGTTTTACATTATATATGTTGGATAAAAAAATAAAAATTAAAAAAAAGGGTATTCAAGGGTGAAATCCAAAAAAGATTCAGCCTGTAAGTCTATATATAATAGTACCGGGGTACTAAGAAGGGTCCATCTCATTTTATCCAATATAATGACAAAACTTAGAAATTGCTCACAACAATTATTCATCCATTTATATACCTGATGTTGGAAGAGTGTCCACGAAGTAAAAATCCGCCAAGTAAATTTATGCTTAACTAATAGCGAGACTTGTCAAGTATTCCAGGAAAAACTTAACTGAGGATGATAAATTTGGAAGTACACAGAGGGACCAGTCAGGTTAATTTCGGCCTAACATGTAGACAATCAACACTGTAACCACAATAATACAAGACTAGAGCGACGGTGTTCTTACAAATCAGGATTTAGCTCGGGAACAAAATAACATTTTATCAACTTGATATAGCAAAAGCATTGCTAATACTATATATTGAATTGTCCACATAAAATCACAAGATGTTTACTTAAAGATAAATCCAAATTAAGATTTCTATCAATATTTATCTTGCAAAAAGTTTGCGGCATAATTCCGAACACTGGTTAGCCCATTTGCTGAAAAGTTCATCTTTTAGCCGCTTTGCTCCCCATGATTTGCTGCCTGACATGGTTAAACATATTTTTGTAACCTCCACATGTAATGCTCTAAACTGTTCGGGACTTGAATCGTTTGTTACTTTCTTTTCCCTTCCTTTCCTTTGTTAGCATGAAACCTTCATCTACAAAAACCGATCAGCCTGCCTGCGAATCCATGTTGTTTTACCTAAAGTGACGTTATATTTGAAAACGTCACAATGTTCAACATCATGCCAAACCATTGTTCCCATCACACGTCTGAGTCCTACATATATAAATAAGAAGATGGGGTATGAGTGCCAATGAGACAACTATCCATCCAAGTCACAATGTGTAAAAGTAAAAAAGGACGCCTCTGGGTGCAGGAGTTTCTCGCTGCATTGAAGACCCATTGGTGGCCTTCAGCTGTTAATTGTCTGCTCTACGGTCGGGTTGTTGTCTCTTTGACACATTCCCCATTTCCATTCTCAATTTTATTAATTGTAGGTCAAAGTATGTATATCTGAAATGTGTGATTATATCAATTCTTTGTTTGAAATAAGATTACAAAAGATTGTATCTTGACTAAAATTATAATTAAAAATAAATTTATATGAATATATGTGGACCTGGAGTTATCCCTCTTTTCATACCATATGAACAACCTCCCCTATTTAGTATTGGAGTTATATCTGGGACTATTATACTAGTTAGTACAATAGTCCCAGGTTACATGTAATAATAACTTTAATTATATTGCGAATTGTCTATATCTGTTACTTGACTGATATGCTTGTTAAGAGTCCTATGATTAAGAAAATAAAAAATAGTGTATTCACTCAAAACACAATATTGAATAATGAATTCGGCTAAATATATTAAACCTATTTTACATTTGTTATATTAACTTTTCCTCTATTTCAAATTTTATGTGATCAATCTATGTCTGTTGTAATCTGTCCGGCTGTAAGTAATTTTGCTGTGACATAGTTTTAAAGGTGGTCATTAAAAGAAGTAACAATACGATTTTTGGCGGGTATCTTTCACTTTTCCATCTTCGTTTTCAACTCAAGTTTATGATTATGATCATACCAGACGCCATAATTAAGTTAGATATTGAATGTGCTTCAAACCAACTTTTTCACATTAAGTTAAGTGGTAATTAAAAAGGTGAAAACCGTGTTAATAACAAATCTTTTGCTGCAGCAGCTGACCAATGCAGTGTTATGTAATAACCGGCTCAAATCCGGAAGAGTATTTCCGGTTAAACTATTCCTAATATTGAAAATGTATAACAGTACAAATACTAAGTTGTCTCTGGTTGTGATAATATTACAGGAATTTTCCACAGCAAAACAAGAGTTACTTAAAAAAGCGAGGAATGATTTTTTACGTTTAGAGACATTTTGACACATGCCTCTCCAAATGCAAAAACTTCATTTTACTGTATATTTTCATTCATACCCATATACTATGCCCCGTAATACATTCTGGGACTTTTATACTAATATAGTAGTTAGTATTATAGTCCCAGGTACCATTAGACCTGTCTTACTATTGGATCTGAAATCTGGGGTTATTTTTCGAAAACAGTAGTTTCATTTTTCATTACATGTATTTTTTTTTCGATATTCATACATCAGTGTCTAAAGTTCCAGGTGTCCTACTTTCTCAGTCTGATAGGTAGGTTTTTATTCAAATCCTTGTGATAATCTATTCTCGTACATGTACCTGTTACATTAACAATATAGTATAATTTATGTAATAACTGGGACTATTGTTGCTTAAGAAATAACACGAAAGGTGAACATAAAATGCAAAAAACAAGGGTGAAATGTCTCCCCTGCTTTACTGACCATTGATGTTATGTTGCAAGTCTTAAAGATAAAGGTTTAACTACGAGTATCACATAAATATTTTAAAAGATCCATAACAATGAGGTCAAGGTCAGATAAATCCTGCCAGACAGACATGTACGTCTTACAATTATTCCATACACCAAATATAGTTGACATTTTGCCTACGGTTATTGAAAAACAGACAAAAACACAAAAACTTAACTTTGACCAACGAACCATTAAAATGAGACCAAGGTCAGATTATACCTGACAGACAGACCTGAACACCTTACAATCATTCAATACAACAAATATAGTTGACCTATTGCTTATAGTACTTGAAAAAAACCAGACCAAAACACAAAAACTTAACATTGACCAATGAACCATGAAAATGAGGTCAAGGTCAGATTAAACCTGCCAGACTGACATGTACTCCTTACAAATTCATTCCATACACAACATATAGTTGACCTACTACTTATATATATTGTATCAGAGAAACGGACATTAATTGCTATATTTTTAAAGACTTAGGGGAGAAGGAAAACAAGTTTATATGAAATTGTACGTGTAGTAAAAAAAAATCGTGTTTATCACTTTCTTAAATGTATGTGAATTTAAAAGTCAATGTTATAGTAACCACTTAAACATGTTTACATTTTCTATCGACGTTTGTGGGAATTTCCGATTGCAACACTCCTAGCGAGCTTATAGCTAGCTTTTAAGTTCAATTCAGACTTGCTGAATAGTTCAGCGTTTTTATTCATGAAATTTTCTACATTTCTTCGGATTTTAGAAAACTGATACACAGTGTTGAAGTAATTTGAATTTAAAAAACAAACCGCAGATCAAGGTAAGAAGAGTTTGTTGATTTAAACCAATACGCCACTCGGCGTCTATTTTTAGTATTCTGAAATTACACACCATATTTATATATGTTTTGATTGTATATTGAAAAAAGTATTCCTAGTATATAAAATCATCACCGTTCGAGATTTAAACGCAACTTTTTATGACAGCATGTATATTTTGCATTTTTTTAGATGGCCACATCAGTAAAATGTACCAAGTGACACAGGGTCAGTTATAGTTCACTGGAAATTCCCTTCTCGGTATCTTCATAGGACAGGGCAACATTTAGAAAGACAGAACATTAATGGTAAATAATAACTTCTTATTTATTTATTTATTTATTTATTTATTTATTTATTTATTTATTTATTTATTTATTTATTTATTTATTTAATTTATTAATTATTTATTTATTTATTTATTTATTTATTATTTTTTGGTTTTAGGTAAAAAAAAAAACTCAAAATGCAGAAAAGTGACAGCCGTGCACTTTATGACATGAAACTTACTACTGGAATGTCATATATATATGGACCAGATGGGAAAAAGGCACACGAGGAAGCTATCGAATACGATAAAGATAAATCCTATCGCCTTGTTGTGAATATTGTCGGAAAGGTGGCACAAGGAAAAACGAGTCTACGACGTCTTCTAATTGGAGAAGATTTCAATGAAAATGAACAAAGTACAGTTGGGATAGAACACGAGTTAGTAGAAACACTTGGAACAACACCAAACCCTGGTAATTTTTGGTCTAAAGTTGATCTGCAAATGGCTAATGTTGATGAGTGTAACATAATTGTCGGTAAACACGTACGTAGAAGGTTAGAAAATAGTCAACGACGAAAGAAATACAAGGCTGAAATTCAATCGTTCGTAAAGGCAACAATATTGTCATATTTTATGTTATTTCTGTATTTCACAGCAGCAGAATCTGAAGTTTCTCTTTGTCCATGGTTTTCGGTGATGTTGATAGTATCGCTAACCTTCTCCGGTTTGTTACTATTTGATTCGCTACGTGACGGTTTTGGCATGGCACTCGGTGTGCTTTGTCTTGTATTGTACAATGATTGTCTCCTCCGATGGAAATCATACGAATTGTTTGAACATTTGGAATATAATGTATGTTTAATGTGGTCTGTTGTACATGCATTTGTATACTTTGCAAGGATACATCTGGTTATGGCATTCAGCATGGGCATTTCAACAGGAATGGGATTCTGTTTTGTATTATGTTTAATGCAACCACCGTGGACACGAGAAATTCTCAGTTACAATGTCTTTAAAGATCCTCATTTACATATTTTTACAATGAGTGTTTTGGTTGGCATATGGACTTTAAGACACCCCAAGATCATTGCAGCAACATTTACCATGCTAGCATTAATTGCACCCTTTATTTCAAAAGCTTTCATCTTTTCAGTTTTGAGTGGTTTAGGATGTGGATATTCCCACGTGATCTTCATTAAACTTGGCTTTGATACGTACGTCAAATTACTAAACAAAGTATTAAAGTCAGTTGCTGAAAGTAGACGAAGTCGACGATTTATTTGCTATTTTCTCGGAATTATTCCTGGGATTTTGATCACATTTGTACTAGAATGGAAATTGTCCAAGCAATGGTTTATCCATGCAATATTTGGAACATTTGTAATACTATTCATAGAAGTTTGTCATTCTTTTCTGGAAGGAAAAGTCGAGGCCAACCCTAAAGCGTCAATTAGCAATGCGACAAAAGTTCTTGATTCTAAAAGTGAAGCTAGCCTAAAGTTTGTTATCCGAGATTTTGCAGGACACCCTTTATACCACTCTGTACATCACATTTATATGATGGGTCACTGTGTTTATTTGATTGTTTTTAGCACAACAGAAGCAAAACGGAATTTTAAATATTGCTTTGCAGATATACTGTATTGGCTGCAAGCTATTTTTGTTCATGACAGGTTTCCAAGTGTGCGCGCCTTTATTGTCGGTACGCATCGCGATGATACAAGTCTGAGCAGAGATGATATTGACATGGTTTCGGAAAAAATACTAAATCATCTTCCAAGGCAATTTCATAACATGGTTGTCTGGAATAGACAGATAGACAGACCTGTTTTCTATGTAGAAAATTCTATGCGAGATCCAAAAGATGCTGATCATTTATACCTTCGACAGCAACTACTAAATCTCGCAAAAGACTCCATGAAACCGGAATATCCAATTAAATATCTATACTTCTATCGTGTTATTAATGATTGTCGCTTAAGAGGGCGTCTGATTGAAACGTTAGAAACAATAGAACAACTATGCTATGAACAGGAATGTAGTGTTACAGCAGACGGTGAGCTAGAAGATCTCCTGAATTATTTTCATGAAAGCGGAGAGATTATATATAATTCATATGATAATAACCAAAACCAGTTGGTTGTGTTGGACCCTAAAGCCTTGGTTGATATCATGACAAGTTTAGTCCGAGCCCCGCCGAGAGCAGATAGACAAGCAGAATATATGTTAGCATGGAACACTGTTGTTGATTTAGGTATTGCTACACGAAAGCTTCTTCATCATATGATAGAAAAGAGTCCACTAGTTAGTGAGGACATTAATGTGGACATCGTAATTGGTCTTCTAGAGTATCTGGATTTAGTATGTAAGCTTGATCTTGGTATCGATGGAAGGAATGTGAGTGGAGAAAAATGCTATCTATTGATACCACTGGTGAAAGATACTCTCCCGTACCCACAAAATTACTGGGATGACATAAGTTCAGATACAGTTCTTTACTTCGACTTTGGACCAGTGGTGCCGAAATTTATTTTTACCCGCCTTGTGTGTCAGTGCACTAGCGAAACACATGTAGATGTCGGCATGAATGGGAGTTATCATCTTAATGTTTGCACGTCTAAAGCTTTATTTACATTTAGATCTGGGTTTAGACAATCGAATAGCTACAAAATTGAACTTTTAGATATAAAAGAAAGTGCAACTCCGACTCAACAGCTTTTGAAAATAGTTATTAGAGGCAGTGAGCAAGAATCCTGCATGGATCTGACCAAAAGGCTTTGCCAGAAGATCTGTAATATTGTAGACAGAGATTTTAGAAAATGTCGATACAAAATTGGCGTTATGTGTCCATTTGAAGGACCGCATGAATTCTGCCAAAATGTAAGTATTATGATGGTTAACGTTATAATTCTTTTTTTTTATTTTTTGTCTTCAAAGGATTGAATATGTCCTTAACTATAACATATCAAGCGTGTTATATATATCATTGCTGATTTGAATCACATATTTTTCATGTAAAAATCGATATAGACTCCGGACGTATTGGTCACATACTGGGTGCAGTTTACTTAACATGAGTGTTTTTCGTAGCACTTGTATGCACACACAATTACTATTTGAGGTGTTAGTCAAATCTTTCCTTTTATCAATGCGATTAAATGAGAATACATGAAGTAAGTAAAAATACTTGATACCAAATTTCGTAAAAACAACTGTTTTGAAAAGTACACAGTTTCCAGAATATATTATACCCTATCGAAAGATAACCTATCGTAAAATAAAATAAAAAAAATCGGATAGTGAAACCCAGTGGTCAAAATATATTCATGAAAGAACAGTGCCACAAGTTGATATGTAAAGTTTCTGTAATTATAAATATCATTAATTCATAAAACAAAGACCAGAATCAGAACCAGTCAAACGAGTGACTTACAGAAAAGTGTCAATTATACGTATGAATGATACATTAGTAATCATATACTCTGGACAGTTACTAGTTTCACAAATCTAACTGCATAAGTCAATTACTATTTCCAGGAACATCACATCTTCTCGCTGTATGAAAGCATTAAACCGGAAGGATATCACCGTGTTTTGAGCATTGATCTACCAGACAACAAAGAATTCTGGTGCAGAGGACGCCGTTTTAGTTTCAGGCTTGGACAGGTATATTTCGTTAGCTTAACAAACTTTTATTGTACTGGAAACCTGGTGTACATACATGTTAAGCAAGGAAAGTGCATAAGCACAGAGAAAAAAAAATCTTTCTGTTAAGTTCTGTGGGTATGATTCTATAGTTTGGTCACTTTTTATAAATAGCAAACGACAAATAAATACTTGTAGATAAATAAATTACTTATCATGCATTAACCTATATTTGTTTTCTGCATAGAGGCAGATATAACTATTATTAATCCAAAATGTTTGAATTGATTATAGAATGAAACACCTTAACCTACAACATTGAATGCCACAGAAAAATTATTGAAATGCAATGGGCGTTTTTTCTCCCTCAAGTAATCAGTGCATCGGCAACGGCGTAACATATATCAGCTACATTATTGACAGTGATTGTATTTGTGAATTCTATTAAACTTCAGTTCAACTTTCTTCATGAAGAAAATACATTTTTAGTCATTTTATTGAGGTGTTATTTTTATTTTTATTTTATCAACATAATATCTATACATTTGTTTTTAATTTTCAAAACAGGGTAATGAAAACACACATTAAAAGCGCATCTAGAGAAGTACTTTATGCACAATGAAATATACTTTAAAAAATTATACGAACACAACTGTAACATTGAATGAACAAATTCAATGTTAGCCGATTTCCATATATATATATATAAATAATATTAAGATATTGCTTGTAGATCTTAGTTTCGCCAATACAGAATGCACACCACCAGCTTGAAAGACAAAGAAGTGGTTTATGGGACGTTAATATCCTCGATCTGCCACCTCGTTTATTTTCAGATATTTGTGACGATCTTAACATCTTTAATGCACTTGGACGTGATTGGAGATTATTAGCAGGTAATAATTTACATGATACATTTTGTACTTTCTATATGCTAAATGTCAGAAAGTTGGTACACAATACATTCAATAGCACTAACACTAATGTGACTGCTAATTTTTCATGTATAGTTCTTCAGAAAACAGTAGTTTCAAATATCGTATTTCCAATGTTAAATGATAGATTTTTCGTAGTTTTCAGTAATCATATACACTATCTAAGAATTAAGAAATATTAAATTACATTGTAGGAAAACTTAGTTATTACAAAACCTTTTTATAACGAGAAGGTTGAAAAATGTGTTTAATTAGAAGAAATCAGTTTAACCTTATCGTTACCCTTTAAACGCGTTTTGATGACACCAATCATTTTATATAACCATTGGTCGTAGCTGTTTTGAGCGCAAGGGGTAACATAGTATTTCAAAAAAATATAAAGAGTACACTAGCATAGCGTAAAAGTAAAATTATATGACTTTTTCCCACAGAAACATTAGGAAAAAGCAAACGTCAAATAGAATTACTGAAAATGCGATCACCACGGGACCCCTGTGATGCTCTTTTACAAGACTGGGCAGCGTCAACGACTGAGGCTACAGTGGAACGCTTGGTGGAAAAGCTTACTCGAATGGAACGGTTTGACGTTGTAAGAAGATTAGAGGATTACATTCAAGGAAGCTAACTCTGTTGTCGATATCTATCTTTCGTGTCTCTGTAAAAGGTTGACGAATATGCCAAATTGTAATTTATCATGAGTTCAGGTCGGGTTTTAATCCAGTAAAAAGGATCAAATCTAGAGTTGTAAGACGGAGCATTGAATTGATCAGTTATTCTTTTATTGATATATGCTACTGTAGTGTGCCTTGTATTTAAGACATATTGTAAGAAACCTTTGTCTTATATTTCATATCTCAAATTCCACAGACTGAAAATAAATGATAGTTGTTTTTATTTGAATCTACAAAAACGCTGGGAATAAATTTACTTGCACATTTTTATTCATTTTATGTACACTATGTTTGTATGATGGTTTTTTCTTCCATATAAAGGTATGAATGAAACTTATACAGCATTCGCTTGTATTAAAATCAGGTTGAGTTACATCTACATGTTAGTATGCATATTTTGCACTCAACTGAAAAGTCATTTTTTTTTTATAATTATAAACAATTATTATAAAAAGAAAGTTCACCTTCGTCAATTTTGTCATCAAGGTCGTTTAATTATAAATTGTAAAATATCTCGAAAGTGAGGACAGAATACTAATAATATTGATATACACTACAGGTTGAAGGGGGAAATATGAATAACAATAAACTAAAATCGGGGGTGGGGGGGGGGGGGGGGGTTAATTTTTTTACAAAAACTACTTATATAATTTTTAGATGGGCAAATGGCGTTAAAAGAAGGTGTGGTTAGCAATTTTACTGATGCAAGATAGTTGTATTGTATATGCAAGGATTTTTCTTTAGAAACGATTCACATGCACTTGTCTCTGAAATGATTAAACCGTTGGTCAGCTACACAACATGCACAGTGATGTTTTAGCATTAATAACCATTTGATTTCTGGGGCTGGGGGCTTGGGTCAGCGACACAAATTGTAGTATCAGCATTGATCAACCATTTGAATTCGCGGAGTCGGTTTGCTTGGAGGATTTTGACAATTAATATGATGGCCTAAAAGGTTAAAAAAAGAGATTTCGCTAAAAAAATTTACAAACCAAATTTATTTTCATCCAGTGTTCGACAAACAAATATTTTCATGTCAAATACAACATATATAAGTAGATTTTGTTGGTCGATGCATGCTCTATATGCTTCCGGTCCTAAAATATCTATAGACAATGGCCTGTTTTCAATTAATTTTGTTAACACATGAATATTGATCAATACAAATGTATGTACCACGTACATTCAGTACCAGTAACATGAGTTAATATTTAAAAATAGCAGCTATGCTTCTATTTAGTCATTGTTCATGTTGTTATAACTATGATTTAGTGTGGTACTTTTGTGTAGTAGTAGAATTGAGAATGGAAAAGGGGAATGTGTGAAAGAGACAACAACCCGACCAAAGTGCAGAAAACAGCCCAAGGCAACCATGGGGTCTTCAACGCAGCCAGAAAATTCTGCACCCGGAGGCGGACTTCAGCTGGTCCATAAACAATAGTGTATACTAGTTCAGCAAAGTGGACGCCAAACTAAACTCCGAAACATACAAATGAACCAAAATTTAAAAAAAAACACACAAGACTAACAAAAACTAGAGGTTCCTGACTTAGGACAGGCGAAAACATGTGGCGGGGTAAATATGCTTTGTAAGATCTCAACCCTTTGTCTAGTGATTATTTAATATTTAAAAATTTCTGATAGAAATAGGTGTCAAATTGGGGCTTTAATAAACTGACTATTTCCTGTTCCAATTTAACCTGACAGAAGTTTGACCAATTTCTCCTTAATTGATTTTCTCTCACAGGGAAAAAAGAAAGTCTTCCAATCTTTACTGAAATTCACAGTATGACACCTTCACATGTGTACATTAAGGTTCAAACCGTATATTGTCTCACTTATTTGATTTATATTTACCATTCCAATGCACTGATCGGCTTTATGTAGACGAAACGAGAGTCTAGCATACCAAATTATAAACATGAGTTTTTTTTTTATGAGATTTTTCTAATCAGATGATTAATTTGAAAATGCCAGAAGATTGCTGAAATCTGCAATTTGGCGAATTTTGTCATATTTTGAGCATTTATCCTGAAATTCTATTAGCAGAACATTTGTAACAAAAACTCGATTAAGGAGGAAAGCTACATATTGTCTTTTGGATACAGTTCATAAATGTGGTATGCTTGTCAATAAGACAACTATCCGCCAGAGTTCAAATGACGTGGATGTAAAAGTAATTATAGGTCACCGTACGGCCTTCAACAATGGAGAAAACCGATACCATATAGTCCGCTGTAAAACATCCCGGCTAAAAATATGGGAAACAATTTCAAAGAGAAAACAAATATGACAGACATGAACCAACGATAACCACTGAATTACAGGCTCTTGACCTGGGACAGGCACATAAAATATGTGTTAGGTTAAGCATTTTTTTAGCAATTATTCTTATCCCTAACATGGGACAGTGGTGTAACAGCACAACATAAGAACAAACTGTAAAAATAAGTTGCAAATGGCTTGACTCAATAGACCAGTATGAAGCACGAAAAATCAACTAACATAATAACCGTAGACACATTATCTCAATGAGAGCAACCCGACAACGAAAATAAACAAAGAACAGCAACATTACATACAGTCCAACAACAAACAGGTGTCTATATAATATGCCAAGTTCTAAATTGTACAGATCCCTATTAATACTTTAAATGCAGAAATTTTTGCGCTGTTTTTATTATGGTGAAAATTGCAACGAGATAGGGGTTAAAAATACAAATTATCATATAAAATTGTAATAGCATTATTTGTATGCAAGATTTCCTGAAATTGCAATAATAAGTTTACATTTGTGTTCATTGTTTAACAGTAATAAGTGCACACAATAATTTCTGAATTTACAGTATATAAAAATTGTAAATAACTTAAACAAAAGTAATCAAAGATCTACTGTCAACCTATTATTCTCCAAATGAAAAGAAACAATGCAAAGACTAAGTTTTTTCACCTGTTTGTCATAGAAAGGTGGAATTCTTTTCAATACGTGTTCGGTGTGAGCCAAGGCCCCGTGTTGAAGGCCGTACTTTGACTTGACCTGTTTACTATTTACACATTGTGACTTGGATGGAGAGTTGTCTCATTAGCACTCATACCAAATCTTCTTATTTCTATTAAGTGTCTAAAAGAGGGGTGTATTATAAATGTAAGCATTCACTATAATTTGTTTGCAAAGGATTTGTGTATACAGGTGACTTAGTACTGATCCTTTTAGCTATAATTTGTACTGCACATTTTCACCGCAACCTCCTACGGGTTCTACATCTAACAGAACTACTGGACAAGGCTTTTTTGACAGGTTCTCCATACAGTTTTGTCACAAACTAATTCAAATTATGGGAAGTTTTACGAAGTATATAACTGGATTGAGTACCATCCCTGAGATAACTATTAAGGTTCTATGCACTAACTAAGACCAGTTCATTTTTATGCTTTATCTTTAAATTTGTAAAACAGACATTTCACATGTACATGTGAACTGTACGGTAAGATGGCAAAAGCATTATGCAGGATCTCCAAAAGAGAGGCGAAAGATACCAGAGGGACATTCAAACTCATAAGTCGAAAATAAACTGACAACGCCATGGTTAAAAAAGAAAAGACCAACAGACAAACAATAGTAAACAACACACAGCATAGAAAACTAAAGACTGAGCAACACGAACCCCACCAAAAACTGGGGGTGATCTCAGGTGCTCCGGAAGGGTAAGCAGATCCTGCTCCACATGTGGCATCCGTCGTGTTGCTAATGTTAGTACAAAGCGGGTATTAAGTCTAATTCGGTAGGTCACATTCGGGAAAAGGGGAACGTGATCGTAGTTACGACATTAGGAACATATCCGCTATCATCTGTGAAACGGATATATCATAACGGTCAACCAACTCGTGATGGCGTCCGTAAAACTAAAGAAGGGATGATTTCAACTTCACAACTTGGAACTCTTGGTTTAATAGCTTTCTTGTGAACAGCAACCCTCTATCAAGGAAATCATGATAGGAAATACAAGCCCTGGAATATCGTATCAATTGTGAGATATATACTCCGTATGCAGGCGCTGCTGGAATGTTGCTACATAGAAATAGAAAGTTCCAAGTATTTGTCAGCATAAGATATGATTAGCATAACATAGACTGTTGAAGGACAAGAAAAGATTATTTTTTTCTCTTTGACTAAGTCGAAAAAATGAGACTTAGACGTCAAAAAAGAGAGGCGAAATATACCGGAGGGATATTCAAACTCAATAATTTTATAAACGAACAATTGAAGCTAAAAGTTTCACATCAACAATCAATCAATCAATCAATCATGCTGCTCAATTGTTTTATTATAATCCAAACATGTATTAGTTTGTGATACTGTCAGTTTATGGGGAACTACTAATGGTTGGTATGCAGTTTCATTAGCATTCGTGCATCTCATTTCATTGCCATGGTCTATTGATTTTTAATGTTTTGCATAGTTTACATGTTCAAGTGTGTGATTAGATCAGTTTAAAATGAACGACTTCATTCGGTACTGACATGATTGATAACAAACCTCTGGCAAGCTTGATATTTAAAAGAATTTAATAATAATATTGATCAATAAAATTTCTTTGAAAAAACTTCAATTTCTGGTCATGTTTTAAAGGAAAACTGTCATTTTGAACAAAGATGACATAACACATTAAAGAAATAAAACCACAAACATTAGAACAAAAATGTCAATGAAATGTCTTCTGCAAATGGTATACGGTATATAACACTTGTGGTTAGGGGTCTTATCATTACGACCTACACTTTCACACATTCATTATGAGATGTATTATAATTTACTATTACTTTATGAGTCTGTCCATCTGTTATTATTTATTGTGTTTTCAAATTCTCACATAATATTTCTTGGATCTGAATGAAATTTAGTTCTTACACGTGATATCATATTTCAATGAAGATAAAATAAATATTCTTGAGGAATTGACTTTTCTAAAAAAAAAAATCCAGTGAAAAATTCCTGTAGCTTGGATTATCATGATTGATTGATTGATTGATTGTTGATGCGAAACGACACTTTCAGCTTTTATTGTCCATTTATGAATTTACCAGTTATCAAGAAACAAAGGCCTCAACCCCCTCAGGCAAAGTTTACCTTAAAATGATTTGGGTATTGTTTTATGTCCTTTTTGGTTATAAAGCTCTTCAACTGTTCCGTTTCTTGTACACCTTTGGCTTTTAAATATTCGGGTTGAGCGTTCCTGATGAGGTAAATCCAGAAGAGCGCTTCGGACGCATGCAATTTTT